GCATAACGGTCAGATTACACAGGATATCGTACGCTAGTAGCCTGACAAGGTCGCGTGAGTTGCGCCCTCCGCGGTGCTTCAAACCCAACAAGGTGAGGTCTGATGCCGTTCGCCCGGCGAGGGCGCTACACTCATGTGAGGCTTAGTAAGATGGAAGATAAACAAATCAGTATGTAAATTAAATACTTTGTTTTCAGTCCGTCACTCGACCTGGTACGTTTTTAGGAAAATAAACCGAAATTACGTACCGAAAGCATCGCGCATGGTAAGTTTGACCAACGATATAGAAAGTATACAATATAATGTTTAATATTAATAATTTCTCTCGTTTTTCCTCTCTCGTTATACCTTAAATTTAAGAGAAGTTAATTGTTCGCCAATCTCGTGAACGTTCGTTTCACCAGATGTTGAAAGATCGACAAAATTAAGCCGTTTCAGCTGCAATGATAATGGTTGTATTGGAAATGTTGATCAAATATTCCACTCATATTAGGGCTTGGTTATTCTATTTTTGTTTAAAAGATGATTTAATACCAGCATATCATCTCTGGCAAACAACTGATTTCAAAATAGATTTACACCGGCTGCCTATGTGACCTCGTGTCAAATTGTAATCGTTATTTTGTTTTTTATTATTATTATTTTATGTACAAAACAAGAAAAAAATACAAAAATATACAACACAATCGCAAATACGACAAATTATCAGATTAAGGTCATACTCGCCCAACTAACAAACCCTCAGAACATTATAATGAATATAAAATTTTACTTATTCAACTGGAAAATCGACCTATTTATTTATATGATGCTCCATAATATTTTGTTGCAATGTATTTTTAAAATGTAGAAATATTGGACACTAACTGTTTTAATATTATGAAAGTCGGAAGGGTATCTTGATATCTAGCAGTGTATATAGCCCGTTTAGCAAACAATATAACCTGATTTCTAATTGTACTAAAATGTTCACCCCCAAGTAGTCATTGATGTTCTCTGGACGACTGTCTAGATTTAAACTCTTGTCCCAGTTATAAATATTGTTTAAATATTGAAAGTATACAAATAAATGTAGTAGAGTTTAATCCGGCTTTTTTTTCAAAAATTATACAGGGGAGACGATGCATAAGTTAGGGACATTTTAAATAAAATAAAATTAATGAATATATTTCTCAAAAGTTTACAATAAAACGCACGTGACTTGGTTTCTATTGTAACATTCTAAAGAATGGCATACAATGTTTTCCAGTCCAAAGTTATAGTAGGAAACAAAGTTAACATAGGTAGTATATCTCCTCTTTCGGGGGAAACATTTCCATGTAACTAGTATTTGGGTAAATATTCTCGTAGACATTTTGCTAATAATTATAATTTTACACTAGAAACACTTACTGGGAGAGTGGGTCTAACTAACAAGTTGAACATATGTACCTTTAATATGCCAAGTTTTCGGAATTGCATCCACAAATCCAAAGCATTTTTAAAAAGTGATTAGCAATAAAACCCAAGACAGAATGTTACCATTCTTATCATATAAATCTGTAATATAAACTATACATATGTCATATAATTCTTATAATAATAATAATAGTTCCAAATACTCTCGCGATTTCTTGAAGATTTAATGTTTAGTGCGTGTTTGTGCTTCGGGGTGCTCGGCATTTCTTTTTTTTTACAACAGTCACGATAACATAGTTTGAGAACAGACCTGATACCAGCGTATGTGAGAACTCCAACAATAACTTTTCAGCTTCTTTCAATCTCCCTCAATCAGACTTTCAGGGGCTGTCTTCGTAAGTGGTCATACATATCTGCTCGTACTAGGAATGCTTTTGCTAATGCTCACTACAAACCAAAAACACTTGAAATAGACTGAGACCAAAACACAGCATACAGACTGGGAAACGTGATCAAACTAGCAATATTAGTTTAAATTTGAAAAGCGTTCGATTGTGGAAGGATGAATTCCCATCCAACCTTTGAATAACAAACCAATTTTGGCAGCCGATGTTGGTACTAATGCACCTGCAGATTCACATATACAATATAAAGACTAAAACTTGAATAATAATAATAATAATAATACGTTTTGCTCACCGATGTTGATAAGAACAATATTCCCATATCTGCACAAATAACCGATTGAGACATACGTGTACAAGTAATACATAATAATTACAAGACTAAACCACGGACAATTGGGGGGTGCCGGCTGTATTGGGTTACTACATATGTCAGCATTATACTCCTCTAATTAAAAAAAAACACGCGCGTATTAACGGCCTATACAAACACACTGCACACTTATCATCAGATAAACATATAAAACAGTTGTCTCTTGACGTAAGGCAGCATTAAACACTCCTCCCTCACTTATTTACCCATTCAACGTGGGAGAACATTCGACATAGTTTACGCCGTAATTATTTGGACATGTTTAATAGGAAATATCATTTTTAATAAAAAAAAAATATAGAGTGTCGAAACTTTTCAATAAACGTTTTTTTCATTCACTTGGTATATGGCGTGACAGTTGGGATTTGATGGATGCAGTGTTTCATGACGTCGTATATACAACTCTCCGCAAAATCATCTGTGTTGTTAATAATATAAGCATGTCAGTATCTGCACGTATCCCGAACGGAGTGTCGTTAGTTTTCACTAGACGTGTCGGAACGGTATTGCTGTCTTTAGCAAGCAGTCGTACGTTAACAAACTTCATTCTATTCAAGTACGTTTATGGTGTGACATGCATTGATGCCTTTTGTATGTGTATCGTAAAGCTGCCCAACCTAATTAATTCCAACGTTGGGGATGTCACAAACAAATTGCAACCTTTGTCTGATATGGTATTCATGAACAATAATTTTGAAATATGAAAATTCAATATGGCTCCCTGTGATTTCCCATATAAAATCATTTTTGACGTATATACACAATGTTTACTTTGTAACTTTGGTTGTGGTCATCCCCAAAGCTGATATTTAGTCTTATCAGCTATAATAAGGACCGTACAAAGTGCGGGTTTTAATTTACACAGGTATTACGTGTAAAATTTATTGTTTTACAAATTCTTTTAACACACAATTTTCAATGACGTTTTCTTTTATTAACTAGAGAGAGATCATTCATTATAAATTGATATTTTGATAATATTGTTGAAAAATATGCCAGTGCCTCATACAGAAAACCGAACAGGCCTATAAATAATGACAAATGATCATCCTGATAAATAAAAAAAAATATTGGGTTTTCAATATTGATGTTAGTACACATAACGCTGCTAAGTACGCTGACCTGCTAAACAGCTATGGCTTCGCCCAACCAATTGACACATGCAATCGATTTACTGAATAGTCATTCATAGACAGCGTAATCTTCAAAGTTTCTAAAAGCAAAGTTTGAATGTATACTAGCTGAGTTCAGTGATCACTATCCCATCTTTGCAATAAAGAATAACATTGCTAATGTATTTATACAGAATGCATTTTATTATACAAATAATTTATCACACTATGACAAGTTCAATTTCACTTCCGAGTTCTTGAAACAGCAATGAAAATCTGTGTATGAATGTACAATTACAAAAGAATTGGCTTTTCGTTCGAATCATACGAAATCATTTGCTGTCACACGCGTGTTGCGACTATGGGTGTAATAAACATCTCTTAATGTAATACGAACCATTCATGTTATACATTTCTACTGTTATTGTAATAATTTACCATTAAAATAACAATTCATAACCATAATTTTAATCATTTGGTAGCATGATATTAAATTATAAACATCTCTAATTAATAGAATGAATAAAACCACCCAAATAGGTAACAACTTTCATCGATAATATACTAAAAAATGTACGTGTTGATATGTATGCATACTATGGGCGTGTTACTCCACACTGTTACATGAAGTAGAAATTGAAAGCTTCCCCTCTACTAATGTGAACATGTATTGTCTTGTCACTGTTTTATAGGAGGTGCATATATGTATAAACGTATATATAGTATGTGTACAGTGCGATATGTCACCATAATGATATGTGTACAATGTGATATATCAACATATTGATATGTGTACAAAGTGATATATCAACGTAATAGTACGTGTACAGAGTGATATATCAAAATATTAGTATGTGTGCAGTGTGATATATCATCATAATATTATGTGTACATAGTGACATATAATATGATATATGTACAGTGTTATCTATCACCATACTTTTATGTGTACAGAGTGGTATAACACCATAATACTATGTCTACAGAGTAATATAACACCATAATGGTACATGTACAGTGTGAAATAACACCATAATGGTATGTTAAGAGAGTTATATATCAACATAATGGTATGTTTAGAGAGGGATAACGCACGATAATAGTATGTGTACTGAGTGATATAACATCACAATGGTTTGTGTACAGAATGACATAGCAATATAATGCTATGTGTGCACAGTTACATAACACATAACGATAAGTATATCGAATGATATATCATATTATGTTGTATACACGGAGTGTTATTAAATAACACACAAACACCAAAGAAACAGACGGTTTTATTTTCCCCATAATATTATTTATGTAAAAACAATATGAGTAATCGTTGAATTCACAGAACGTATTAATTAGTTCATTGAAAAGATTAAATGAGAATCAGAATTTGTTTTATAACATCATGCTAATAAATATTACTGTAAACTACAGTAAGATGCAACGTGCACCCTTTTGGGATTTTGAACCGTGACCTGCCAGTATATATAGGAACAGTTTCCTAGCATACAGATATCTTTATACAGTTGCCTGCAACATGATTCCTTCATTCTTGTCCACATCCTTAACTGATAGTTTTGCATATGTTCTGAAATTGAATAATTAGCACAAATCATTACCATGCCAACCACGCCAATCACGCAGACCAGTATAAAAACAAAAGCTTCAACAATGCTTAATATTAACTTGATACCTCCACGAATAAAAAATAAAGACTCACTTTCCAAACATTTCACCTTCTTCTAGCGTTTCAGGTAGTTTCTGATGACGTGTTTCTGGTAACAATAATGTTACTAGTCCAGCTAAAATTGATGTTGCACCGAATATAATAATTGGTAATGGTTCCCATAGTGTTTTGATTAATATCATCTGTGGTGCTATAATGCCTCCAATACGGGCACACATTGAGGAAAGCCCCATTCCTATGGTTCTGTGTAAAAAGATAGGTAAAGTCTCTAACAATTCCAAAAATAAAAACATTTAGTCAAACGTATCATGGCACTGCCAATAATTATATACTCAGGTATATACCATGAACTGCATCAAACTCCAAAAATATGTAAGCGAATTCGGTAAGCATTACTGATTAATTATGATTAGACAACAAACTAATTAGACCTTTTTAGAATAACTCTGTAACACCTCGTGTTACATTATCCATTTAATATTAGTGGAGATGTTTCAAAGTTGTATCAATGTGCTGCTTATATATTCCTGACATACCATGTACAGCCCATGTTAACTCAATGCAAATTTCAAAGAAAACTTTACACCAATGATCTCCTAATATATGTGCGAAACACATAAAGATATTCAGTATTTTTTTTTCAAAATACTAATGTCGTCTTTGAAAATGTAGCAAATTGCATCAAATAACATATCAATACACCATATATGTTGTCAGGTAAAGCATGTAATATAAGAACACGTAAAATGAAACTAATTTTGTGATTTATTTCTTAAATTTTATCGAAATCTAAAAATTAAGTTCTGTAAAATATCTCTGAAAAACAGGCAGATCATTCGTAGAAAACTGGTCTCCAGTCATCAATTTTGAATTAAATCACTGAACTATACTTGCATTCAAAAACCATCTTGTGTTTTGCTCATTACTAAATTTAGATATAATTATAATCAAAAAGTACAAATCACTTGAAACTACATTTGATTCCTGCAACTAATATGTCAACACAAATATGTAGAGAACCTTTTCAATATGTTATATTGTTATTTTATAAATTCAACTTGGACTTCCTGTTCTGGAAATCACAGGGTATTATCTTTCACTACGCGCTAAACGAATCTTTCCTTCTGATTGCGGCTTAAACTGTGACATAAGATCGCCATGTTAAAAACATATATCAATATATCAAAAACTATTATCACCAAGATAATAGTAAAATAGTATTATTTATTTGAAATATTTAGGCAACATTTCATTGGCTGACATCGCGTTTTTAAGCAGTTTCATTATAGAGACAGTTTCACTTTCAATTACATGGAACATGTTGATACTTCCAGTAAACACTCTAAATGCTGCGTTGATGGCGTAAAACTACAATTACTAACTGCATCTTACCTTACAGGAGTCGGATAGATTTCAGCAGAGAATATATAGACAATGGCAAATGCGGCAGAAACAGCAAATTTACCAATCATCGCCAAGGTGATACCAATCCATTGCATTTCACCTAGAAACAAAAACTAGTTTGTTATGTATATTTCTTACGAAAAGACAGGGGCAAGCATATATTTAATGTTACAGAGCATTACAATTATACTTACAAACCGGTGCAAATAACGTAAGTATACATGCGACTCCCGCTAATATCAATGTTGACGACTGAGACCATCGACGTCCAAAGCGAGTTTCAGGAAGAAAGATTGATAGCGTATAAGCTGGTATTTCCACTGCTCCTGACATGAAAGCATTCAAGTAGTCATTGCCACCAAGATTGGACGTATTAAGTGAAAGCCCATAGTACACTAAGCTGATAGTAAACCTGTTTGAATAACAAAACATATAAACACGGTTAATGATCACACTGGTTGAAATTGACTGACAAAACCACTGGTCTTGGTTGTGTTTTTCTTACCAGTTGTAGAAGAGATTCAGAGATTTCTTTCGCATGTTCGGCAGTCGAATAATGTCAAGGGAACTGCAAGCAGCTTTGCTCTGTAAAAGTTATAAATACAATGGATCATGTGTGTATAGTGACTACAGCTTATGATATGAAAATCGGCATAAACTGTTGAAATTTTCCCTTAGTGACAGTCACGAATATATATATATATATATATATATATATATATATATATATATATATATATATATATATATATATATATATATTCATTGCAACTTCCAGCAATGTTCTTGCTGCCTTCAATACACATACAAATTTAAAATACATTGGCCCAGTCGATAAAAAAGATTTAAATGTACCTTTAAATATCCATTATATTCCGATAACTCTTCATACACGCTGTTAGGTACAGTAACTTTATTTACTTCAGCCCATTTTCTGATGATTGCCGCTGCCTTTTCGTATTTTTCCACTGCAATCAGCCATCTTGGTGATTCCGGAATTATCCTTCAATTGTAAAGGATAAAACATGTATTTATATACAATGCCTCTGTCTCAGTATACATAGGTATTTTATATCCACATATGTTGTATATACCTGTACTTTGCCTATGATTTGCACGAAATAAGAAACATCAGTCAAGTGCATAGATAAATTTCTGTGGCAATGTGACACATTACGAAACACATTACATGTGAATTTGTCCAATTGAGGAAGTTTTATATCATCGATCACAGCCAGCAAAAGTTTGGAAATTGGCATTGACCATCATGATTCTGTGCATTAACCGAATAAATTGTCATCGCTGCGAGCATATTGCAATGTTCTTAACATACATTGCAGTAAATATAGAAATGTGTCCTTTCAGCAAAATAATATTTATTATAATTGAAAGTTGCTTTCAAACTTGAATATAACTTACCACCAGTACAATAAGAAAATCGTGGCCGGTATTGACAAGCACAACTGCAATATCCACCAGTATCTGATGAAGTATGCCAAAAAAGCTAAAAGCATATATCCAAAACTAAAGTAAAATTCTATCACAGCTCCGGCGAACACTCGTTTTGAGGGTCCAACAAGTTCGGTTGCTGTCGAGATATTGGGAATGAAATAAATTGGTGTTTATATACTAACCAAGCTTGACATACAATTAACGAGTATTGCGCACCACTTAATTGGCATAATCTTACCTAAAACGAAGGACACCATGAACATTCCCATCTGTGAGGCACCTACAAATACTCTGAATATGGAGTAGGCTTGGATATTTGGTGAGAAGGCACAGGCTGTTCCTGGAATCGCCATGCACAATGCAGATAACATCAAAGTTGGTAAACGCCCAATCCTGAAATATATGTGAAATATACGAGACTACATCTGATACAATGCATTTCAGACACAGATGTCATATAGTCCTGAAATGGTTTGCATACTTCATTATTTTGGAATGATTTAAGTAATGTATATGATACAGATACAAAATCAGTACAATGTGTATAATTTAATAGGCGTACAAAGTGAATAAAATTATATTGAATATTCTAACCTATCAGAAAGAGCCCCGAATCCTACTGCTCCAATGAACAAGCCAGCCATATGTGCAGAAGATGATAGTGCTCCCAAGTAATAGCGATTACACACTAAATTAAACTGCAACAAAAAATATATTCCACCTAATAAGATAGTTCGCACACAAAAAACATAACTGCGTTCTCAGAGGATCTACAGCTTAAAGGCCGACATTTATGTATCATAGGATGAGCGGAGCTTAGTATTCTAAATTGACTGAACATTCAACGACAGCAACTGTCAATTGTTCCTTGTATGTACATACATGTCTGGCTATGCTGTGGGACGTGGATCGCCTGGACGGGTTTCACAATCTCTGCACGTAATAAGCTCAGTTGTATTTGTTCTACTGTAATTCAAAACATGGTATACGAACGATCGGTTGTTTTCCATTCTGTCTTGCAATGTTTTAATCAAGATTACTTTCTAACTCAGACAACTAAGAGAACTGTAATAAGTGTCTGAGATTACACGTATATTTAAGTAATATTTATGTTGATTGTCTTGATTGTCCGCTTGGAAAATCCGGGGTCGACAAGCGAAAGTGAAAGTGAAACGAAACACATACGTTCACGGATTTTATCTGTTAAGGGTCGTGATGATTATTTTCACGTGTTGCTAACATTGCCAGTGATCATGTTTTTTTGTTTTGTTTTTCTACTGATTTTGGTTAGGCTCGAACAAATCTGATTAAAGTCTGTTGTAGTGTACAGGCTTTAATTATTTTGGCTATAAACTTATTGTTATCTTATTTTTTATTACTTATGTTATTAATGCGTTTTTATTTTATTATTTTACTTTGATTTTGTAATCTTTTTCTAATTCAGTCCTAAAAACATCTAAGCCTCTGCCTATGTAACGTGATTTCAACGAGACCCACTATCGGCGATTTTAGTCAACGAATCACAGACCTCATTCTAAAGCGCGCCTGATGACGTCACCGGACAGAGTCAAGTGGCAAACACACTCAAATAAAATGGTGGATTATAACGACGGTGGCGACGAAAACGATTTGGGAAAACATGGCTTTTCAGTATGGTTATTATTGCAAATGCAACGAAAGTCATCTTTTATTTTCATGTTTATATTGGTTCCAGTTTAGCTCGTTATTTTGCGTTGTTATTCCGGGAGTGACGATTTTTTCTACCGGTTCCACCGAACACTGGTATCTTATTCCAGTCGCTTGCCCTGGAGATGGGTGCTATTTTGTTAACGATCGGGCCAAAATCGTCTACGGTATTGAAGCCGTAGCTGTAAATATTCATCAAAATGTATCAACATTTCGTACATTACACAATAACACTTAATTACAGAAATTGAGCTGATTTGGACTGCAATAAAATATTTTTTATTTGGAACACATCGCAATTGATCAGGAAATATTTGTTGCTCCAATATTCTGCGTTGGTGCCGTGAGCCGATGACCGTTATACAATTTAAAATCAGTTTGTATTGTTTACTATAGCTGTTTACAGTGTTCTAATCATTACGATTTACTTATTTTTTGCTTCCATTCTAGATAAAAAAATGATACATGGCACGCTACCAAGTCCACTGAAAAAGCCATAGAAAAATAGCTACCGGCCCGAAACGTACTGTCACGGCAAAACATGGCCGAGCAATTACACGATAAAATGTACTCAATTCGCATACGCAATACGAAATTCGCACGTGAACGTCATGTTGTGTCGCTTCGAACCAAATTAGATCGTGGATAACTTTAATAAAATATAATCATCTTCGCTACGAGTTGCAAAGAACAAATACTACCAACCAGCACGGCGGCAGCGAACCTCGTTTGCTCATTTATTCAGAATTGCGTTATTTAGAAAAACGATGAATACTACGTCCACGCCCTCGATATCAGTCAGCTTCAAAAATTTCTTTGTCATGACATGCGCAAAGCATTTCATCCCAAGCGATTATACATTGGAATGAGAATGCCGATCGACCACACAGCAGCGTGTGGACTTCTCCCGATGACAGCAGTGGGAGTAGGTTGTCGAATAAAAGGTACATCGAGTGCACATATCATAACTACAGGGAAAATTGTAGGGATCGGCTTAAGAACCACTGTCAATGTTTTCAGACCGACACTTTACATTCTGTCTGCTTTTGACAAACTCAAGCCCTCACGTTGTGTTTTCTTTCCCGTAGTTCATTCCATGGTAATCTGTAAGTAACACAAACAACGCGCTAGTGGCGTTTATTTCACCTCATTCATCGCGCCATTCACGTTCGTTTGAGAAATAGAAAATATAATGCAATGAATCACTGTTTCTCGTTGTTAATGAGGTTGAGGATGACTTCATACAATATGGAAATGCTAATTCGTAAAAATAATTTATATCGAGAAATTCTTGAATTTAAAATGTGTCAACATATATAAAGATTCAATTAAAATACTTGTTTGGTATAATTTTGTTCTGAAAAAAAAAACAGTCACATTAAATAAACAGTGTTGATGATTTATTAGCAAATGTTTTGTAAAACGAGGATTTTCTCTCGTATTCATTTTAAAAATTAATATTTAACTGAGAATTGACAATACCCCTGTTAACTGTAAACAGTAGAATCAGTGACTGAAAAACGTTTACAACACGAAAAAATGAATGTCCACTGATCTGTGTTATTATCTAAAGCTATTATTATACGTACCTCCTGAAAAACCGTTGATTTGTACTGTGATCGGTCATATATCCATCCATGATTACATTTTATAGTATCATTGGTGTATGTCTTGTTGTCATAGCGTTCACAATTACTGTAAACCAAACCACTACCACACTGATTAGAGCTCTCTTCTAATGGTATACTGTGGTTCTTCATCATGTCTTGGCAAAACATTACCGAGTTTTTCAAACTGCATTCATTTTCATCCAACTCTGGGACATAGCACCAATGTTCAGTCTCAGCGGCCAAGAACACTTGCGCGAATGCATGGCTCGCTGGTAAGATGGCCATGAGGCAAAGTAGATAGTAACAGCGTTTCTGATAGGTTCCAAATTCACAAAGATATTCGCCAAGTATGTCATCAAACTTTCTACATTTATACGTGTCTCCTCGAAATTTCTTCATACTGATATGTCGTACTCATAGAACTGAAATAATAAAGAACGATTTCATCAGAAATAAGATTGTCATTTATCATCCAATTGACCAAATGGCACTAGCATTGGACATGAAACAGAATTCGAATACATTCAACAGCAGATACACAACTTAGTTGCTTAAAGTGTCTAATTATATGTTAACCACTTCAAGTTAGTTATCGGCATTCACATTAAAATAACGTATTATATAGAAATGATTCATGATTTGCATACGAATACACTACCCACATTCATCGCCCAATTTTAAATGCGAATATCGTCTTGGTATGTGAATTATAGTCCAGACGTCTACCAGTTTTGAAATAAGACTAGTGTAATGCAACGGCACCTGTACAACGATTGGTCTCTCATGGCGACAGTCGCTCGACTGGTCAGGTTTAATGTTGGGCGTCTTCTGTCTAATTGAGTGTGTTTTCCCTATAACGGGACACTTTGCTTTGAATTCGCGTTAGCTAAATATTAATAACATCATTATTTAACAGTTATTTCTCCGTAGCACGCCCGCTGTGACCGACCCTATTAGAGTTTAACGACTTAAAATCTGTGGTAGGCGGAATGTTTAAGAGAAAACATATTTTAAACTCAAATTCATCAAAAGGTATTGGCCACAATGAACTTATACTTGTATACATGTATACAGACAATTAAAGAACCAAAATATACTAAGTGAAACAATATTGAACCAAACTCTATAGCATTTCCATGATGCGCATAGTCCATCCCTCGTCAATTCATTTGTATCTCACTGAATTTCTCTTTACAATTACACATCAGTATGTTCCAGCTGACCGTAATGCTACGTATTGCAGTAATATTGATGAACGCCACAATGTAAATGGTTTCACGTGATATTTTACTTCGTTACTTCGAGTACTCGACTGTTAATTAATTCGCTCAAAGTGACAAAGAATAAAGGGGTTATCATGTTTGCATTGGTGAGAACCATAACACTCAAATGGGTAAAAGCTGTGCTATGTGATATCGATTATTGTCGACCATTATCCGATGGCCGGGGTTGGTCACAGGGGCTTTTGACATATATCGAACAATGTTAAGAATAATTTTCGCTGCATGGACCAATTTAGCCAAGCAGTGGCCACCAAATATGAACCGCGTATTTTGTATATTACGTATCACCATTTACCTCATTTGACAGTTTGATATTCCAATTGTATAGATACGCGCGCTGATATTTATTCCATCAGGGATTAATCATAAGTTCTGAAAATAAATGAAGCTCAAAAATAAAAAAAAGAGTATTACACATTGTTTAGCATCTTGCCGCACAAGTTTGTTGGCGAAACTCCTGTTTTCTTCATGAGGTCAGCAACTCAGACAGTTGAAACCATTAAATTTCCAACATTCCCGTTTCCTTACATCCCGCAACGCTCTACCAACCATACATTACTGTGACGTATTTATATGTATTATATGTAAATCAGTCTTCCAATTCTTATGTTCAGTTATTTTGATTGAAACCACTAAATTCCAAGTAGTTTTTTTTACTATCCGTCTTAGCCATGTGTAAGTGGGATGTGAAACTAAGAGGGGTATATTTCCGGCAAATAATTTCTTATCGTTTTGAGGAAGTGTAATGTTAAACTATAATACAACCTATCCACAATGTTGTTTCAATGCTTTGCGCCATCATTTGTGAATTACTGTCAACTTCCCTCACCTCGGCTCGCAGCCGAGATATACCTTCGTAACAAGAGTGCAAAGCTCCGGGGGTTAGCCAAGATTAATTCTGGACATGAAATATGCCATGCTTAGAATAGGAGCAGAATAGAATGATTAGAATATATTATATATATAATACAAATAAGCCGACCTTAGTGCACACCGTTTATAAACGATGGACTTCAAGTTCGTATAACAGATAAACGTTGATTATTTGCAATCTCGAGAAGGAGCAAACGGACGCGTATCGATATTTACTTTACAGTGCACTAAAGGGGCTCAAGAGTATCATATGTGATACGCAATATCGAGTAATTTTGATCATTATATGATGACCGCGATTGGTTACGATTTCTATTCAACTACATTGCTAATGTGTTTTTTTTGTTTTTTTTATTCTTATACAATTAACAATACATGAAAAGGAAACAGAACAAAAAGTACAA